AGATTAGAGATTCAATTTTCATTCAATAGAGAGGAAAGGAATGAGTACCAACATCTCTGGCCCACCATAATGGGCCCTGCACAATAAAGAATCCATTTCAATTAGTCCTTCTAACAATTCTATGAGATCTATGATCCCCATCTTACAGATAAGGGATCCGAGGAGAAGGGTTAAATAACTCCCCCAAGACCATACACTCTTTAAGGGGTGGAGCTGCTGGGATTTGAACCCAAATCTGTCTAACTCCAGATCCAAGCTCTTTCCACTACACCACAGGGCTGCTCTCTCAGACTAAAATATTCAACTCAGTTGTCCAACAACACGTACATAGTACATTAAACTGAAGCCACAAGACGAATGAGACATTAAGGAGTTCACAAAGTAAGCACCACACTACATGAAAAGTGCCATGTCAAACAGGATGTAATGGAAGCACACAGGAGAGGCAAACAGGCAAAGACTGGTCAAGGTTAAGAGAACATTGTATTCACAGACCTGCAAGGTGTTCAGTACGGCTAGAGGCAAGAGTGGGAGGAGAGAGGTGAAAAGGAAGGAAGGAAAGATCAGACATGAGGCTAGGACAGTGCCAATTCATTTGTTCATTCATTCCTTCCGTTGAAGTCCTACTACACGCCAGGCACTGTAATAGACACAAGCAATTCAATGATGAATGAGACATAGTCTCTGCTCGAGGAGCTTATAGTCTATCTAAGGAGATGGGTAAATACACAACTACAACATAGAGTGATATATGATAATATTGATGTATTTATTCATTGGACATTAAGGTGCTCCTTCACAGGAAGGTGAATTAGGTCAATTAAGGCACTACATTCACAAAGATCCTTCTAAGAGAGATTACCTCATTCAGAGCAACAACTAAATGCCAAGCCCAGCTGACCAGGTTTTGCACTACAGAAAGTCTCCAGTTCTTCTAACCTCAACACAAACCACAGCCACTTGAACTAGGGGTGGACATATGACCCAAGAAAAGACAATCAATTGACTGTTCAGAGAACAGAATGTGGCCTGGCATATAAACGGAGCTGAACCAAGTGGATTCCTGCACTCAGGAGCTGCACTTCAGAAGCTGAAGTGATCCACAGAGAGAATCCTTGAGGCAGAGTCTGGGCCATGAGTAGTCAAATTTTAAGAGAAAGCAGAACTAAGCAAACAGATGTTATGAAAAAGGTTGTGAACTGTGCTAAGGGGCTGGATCAAGCCCACAAATGTGTTCGTGGCCTGCACAGCATACTAAATTTTTTTAAATGACAGCCTGTGGTCCCTAAAATACCATTCCCCACAAAAAGGAGCCAGAACTCCTTGGAAGAATAGTTGCTTCCAGGTCAGAGGTTGGACGGACAAAAGACGAGTCTAGAACACCTTGTTGTTCCACAAAACAGGGAAGCTATCAAAGCCAAACAGGATTGTCTCAAAGGATATAGGAGCCAAAGGGACATGCGAGCATAAAGAACAAATGCAAATGACAAAAATGATGACTCTAAATACTGAAACAAACAAAAAATTATTTCAGTATAATACTTAAAAAAAAAACCTCTTCAGACTACATTGGAAATGACAAGGCCAAGAATGCCTTACTCTGAAAACTGCTGAGTAGAAGCAATGAATTCTGCATTTATCCTGCCTTTCCTACATGAACTATAAACTTTATAAATATGGAAGGAATAACAGCATTAGAAAATCTTCCTTTCACAACCTTAATGAAATAATAAATTTACACAGCAGTCATCAATGAAAGATCAGTGGGAAGCTTTACAATGGAGGCTTCAGGCTGTTACCACCTTGGTAGGCAGAGTAACACCCCCCACCCAAAAGATGTCCACATCCTAATTCCTAGAACCTGTGAATATGTTATCTTACATGGCAAAGGGGGTTCTGCAGATGTGACTAAATCAAGGGTCTTGAGATAAAAGAGATTATCACAAGGGTGCTTATAAGGGAAAGAGGGAAGCAGGAGAGTCAGAGAAAGAGATGAGATGATGGAAGCAGAGGAGGGAGAGAGAGGTGGGTGCAAGAGAGAAAGATTTGGAGATACTATGCTACTGGCTCTGAAGACAGAGGAAGGGGTCATCAGCCAAAGAATGCAAGTGGTCTCTTGAAGCTGGACAAGGCAAGGAAACGGATTCTCCCCCAGAGCCTCCAGAAGGAACAGAGCCCTGCTGACACCCTGATTTTAGGACTTCTGACCCCTAAGAACTGTAACATAAATGTGTGTTGTTTTAAGCCACTAAGTTCATGGTAATTTGTTACAGCAGCAGTAGGACACTACACATGTGCACCCACTGATCAACATAAGCAGCACTGACGGACACAAAAAGTACCATGTGCTCTGCCACATGAAGCACACCTCACCACCCATGAAGTACCCTCAGCAAAAAGATAAACCGGACTCTAAGTACGTCTTTACAGCTGCTTCCTTTTACAAGAAATATGAGGGACAGAACAGGTTAAACGACACCTCAAGGTAACAGACAAATCCAAAATGTGGGACATTCTTTAAGGACAACTGACTCCAACAATACAACAAGCATGAAATAAAGAGAGAGAATGGATTGCTCTAGATTAAAGAGACTTGAGAAATACAACAAATTAATTTTAAATAAATATTTTTGAGACAAGTGGAGAACTCTGAATTTGGCATTAAGGAATTATTGGTAATTTTGTGCAGTGTGATTAGAGGCACATAATATTGTGATTATGCTCATACTTTTTAAGAGATTCATGCTGAAGTATGCAGGACTGAAATACCATATCTGGGATTTACCGTAAACCGATTCAGCATAAAATAAGAGGGCGGAAGCAATTAAGACACAAGTGCGGCGAGACCCTGATAACTGTTCAATCTGGGTACTGTGTAAATGTTGGACTGACTGTACTCTTCTCTATAAAACTGAAAACAATGCCACAACCAATTTGAATTTGTTGGTGACATTTAAAAATCAGTTTTCACATCCAAATCTGGATTTCCGACTTCATTTGAAAAATACGATGTGCCGACAAGATCCACAACAAGAGATGAGTACTGGCCACTCCAAATTAATTGGAGTAGTTTCCACTACTCCCAATTATCCAGCATTTATCATTACTGCTGCTGTCCTTCTTATACCTGGCCCAATTCATTCATTTATGTTACCTATTTGGCATCCGAGTTTAGGACCCCAGGAATAGTTCAATTAAACTGGTTAGTAGCAAGAGAACAGGGCAGACATAGGGAGAACAACTGAGTGATGGCAAAATGCTGGTGTGTAGATGTACGGACTCCGGCTGTTGAGGTCCCTTCAGGAGCCTTGGATAGAGATGTAACTCCCATAAGGTCATGCTACACTATGCTTCCTGTATTTATTAACTGCTTACTAGAAGCAAGGCAGTATGCTTGACATCCTGGAAAATACGAACATGAAAATAATTCCTGCCCTCAGGATACCAACAGTCTAATAAAGAAGACAAGGTATTAAAATAAGTAGTTACAATTCAGAAAAAAGTGAGTTTAGGGTACTGTTCAAGATGGCTCATGTGCAAAAGGCAAAGTAGGGTGTGACAAAGTATATAAAGTTTCAGGAACAGATCATGAAAAGCACTACAGAGCACATCAGGAAATTTAAACTTCATCAGATGAGCACCAGTGAGCCACCGAAAGGTTTTACAATATAAATACAAATCAGAGATAAGAGTAATACCAGAGATGAGAGTCAAGTCTCTTTCACTGCTCAAATTCCCCGATTCTATGCACTACATCCTTTGAAGAGTCAGAAGCATGACCCCAAAATGTTGTATCTAAGTCTCCAAAATTATGCCATCATGGCTTTCTTGGCCAGACAGAAGTTTGGTACCTGAAGAGAATAACGAAAGGATAGGTCACTCAGCAACAGCCCTGAAAAGTTTTTATCTCCTAAATCAAGTACTAGTAAATTGCATCTATTACCACTCCTGGGTTCCAATACCTTAAACATAAATTATGGTCTTATTATACCTGAAGCTCTATTAAAAAGTAAAAATGTTTTCTTATTTGGTTTAAGACCCATTCTGTTAAACGAAACAAAACACACGTTATTATGAACGAATAAAATTACCCACAACTCAGTCAAATCTTGACTGCTATCAAACTATAATAAAATTTCAAGGATCGGGCTCAGTCATGCCAACCGCAAACTGGCATCATGGGAGTAGTTGTCACCACCCAAGAGTATCGTCGAAATTTACATAAAACTTGGCCAAGTCCAGATTCTGGGGTACCAGAAAGGAAAGGACTAGAGACTGAGACCATTTTGTGACCAACAGTCGAATTTAATCAACCACAGGAATTAAAAATAAAAAGCCAGGAGAGTGTAAGATCGTAGCACTTGTCCTTCACTTTATTTAACTCCCAAAATAAGAATCAATTCCGCTCTGACATCAGTTTATTCTACTGCCTCGCTGAGCCTCAGTTTCCTCATGCGTAAAACGAGACTAACAGCACCTACTTCACAGGGTAGTGTGTGAACTAAATGGTAACATACGTAAGGTAGCACAGGACCTGACATGCGGCTAACGCTCACGAAATAACAGGTTTTCTTATTCACAATAAGCTTCAGTGCCTCCATTATTTTCCTACAGGTATCAATGTGTCTTTTGATGCCAACCTCCACAAATACTCAACGTCCAAAGATTTCTTTGGAGAACGAAGCGACAGTTCAAGGTATCTAGGACCGAAACTAGTACAGGACCCTGACCACGACCCGAAGTCGAGGCCGCCCCAGCTCAGCTGTCACCACATCCGCCGAGGCCTCGCGGCCCTTCCATGGGCTCCCCGGGCTCTGGCGCCCCGCCCCGCCCCGCGAACGCCAACGTGCAGGGAGAGGGGGCGGTCTCCACCGCGCGCCCTTCGCGCCCGGGGGAAGCCACACCGCCCTCTGAGCCTCCCCTCAACCCCCGCATCCTCGGCCTCTGCTGGCCTACGCCCGCGGGCTGTCCTCCCCGTCCCGCGCCGCCCAGAGCCGCACCTTGAGGTGGGTGCGCAGGCCGCCCGCGCCCCCAGACTGGTCGGTGATCTCGTAGGCGCCCGTCACCAGCAGGTCCTTGTGGATCTCTTCGCGGAGGCACTTGCGGGAGTTAACGGGCAGGTGGAAGGAGATGGCGAGGACCGAGCTGGGGCCGAGCAGAAATAAAAGCAGCAACGCTAACGGGCAAGGGCCACCCAGCGCCTGTGGGCCAGACAAACCAGACATGGTGCCGGAGCCTGTTCACCACCCTGGGCCTCTACCGCGCCGGAACCGGGAGGGCCCACGTGACTCACCTCTGACCTCCCAATGCCGTCGGCGCCATTTTGGAGACTGGCAAATAGAGGAAGACTATATTGTAAATCTTTTGAAAGGGAAGAAACGATGTGATAACACGTTATATCACGAGTTAAAGTGTTTAAATAAGAGTGTCTGGAAGTTTTCCGCAAGAGCTTTATTTTGCTGCGCTTAGTGACGGCTCAGTCGGCCATAGCAAGTACGGGCAGCCCTGGAAGTAATTCGCCTTTTACTTCCGGAAGCAGTGCCTGCCGAGTTTTGAGGTCGGTGATACCATAGCAACCAAGCCCCAATAGGAAACAGCCACAAGGCCCTTCGCTGGCCCGCCCACCGGCCGCCAAAGCGCGCGGGGCGGGGGCAGAGGCTGACGGTTTGCAGTCTAGACACCGCTCTGTCTGGGTGACAGCTGGGACATTGGGCACTTTAGAGGAACGCTTCGAGAGGCCAAACGGAAAGATTCTACTTTGGCTGTTAGGCGAGGGGGGTCCGTACCTCAGAGAATGTGTAGAGGTCGCCTGGTGAATGAGCTGGGCGTGCGTCCAGTTCGTGCTCCGAGCCGGGTATTTGGGCTGGAGTAACTGCTTTCTGAATGTGCATCTTACTTAGCAAACATTGAGCGCCTACGATGCTAGGCAATATTCAAACTAAATTTGAATTTTGTGTTTAAGTTGAATAAAACACTATGTTTTAGTCCAGCCTGAGAGAAGGACCTAATTCGGTTTACCAGATAAGCGTTGTCAAGGGAAGGCAAGTGTTTGTTTTAAGTGCACCAACACTTTAGGCATCAAATTGGCTAGTCTACAGTAAACAAACTTACACAGTAATCGTTCATGCTTTTGTTTAACAAATATTTACTGTGTACCTACTATGTGCCAGCCACTATACCATGCATGTATACCAACATGTTTATTGATTTAACAAACCACCATTGGGATACTGTCAAATATCCCAGGCTGCAGAAAATATGAAGATGAGAAAGGAATACACAACAGCCTATGCTTGGAATCATCTGCTTTGATTAATATTTATTGAGCATCTACAGAAAAACCCAGAAGATGGCCTATCTGCTCTTAGTAATTTAAATGATTGTTCTGTATTTGTAACTCCTTTCAGTCCATCTCATTCTCTTCCTGGAGCTAAAGTCCCACAAACAAAATGAGAACAAACATAAAGGAGCTGTAAAGCATTTTAAAATTTGACAAGTGTCATATAAAAATTATTTTATGAGATGTCCACTAGGAACATTTAGTTTGATTATGTTATCCCTGATCTAAGATAAGATGGCTAGTCTACTCATTCCATCCTGATAATTTGCATTGACCTTTTCCCTGCCAGTGCAGGGAATCAGCACCAAGCAGTTACCTAACTCATTGTTTTTCTTAGTCCTGAGGCTCTGCTGACTGTCAGTAAGAGCTTTGCAACCCATAAAATAAGTGTGTGTCTTTTCTTTAAATTTCCGTCTTGTTTATATAATAGCTTATATGTTCTTTTTTTTTTTTTTGAGGAAGGTTAGCCCTGAGCTAACAACTGCCAATCCTCCTCTTTTTGCTGAGGAAGACTGGCCCTGAGCTAACATCCATGCCCATCTTCCTCTACTTTATACGTGGGACACCTGCCACAGCATGGCTTTTCCCAAGCGGTGCCTTGTCCACACCCAGGATCGGAACCAGTGAAACGCGGACCGCCGAGAAGCAGAACGTGCGACCTTAACTGCTGCACCACTGGGCCGGCCCCATAGCTTATATGTTCTTAAATATTTTTACATATATTAATTATTTCATTTGACATATTCAAAAACCATGTGACATAGACTGGGCAAGTCTGTGAATTTAACAGATGAGGAAACTTAGGTTCTGAGAGACCAAAGAACTTTTGTCCCCAAAGTCTCATAGCAGAGTGACAAAGTCAGGCTGAGGGCCTGAGCCTTCTTCAGGAAGGCCCTGTTGTTTATTATTTTGCAGATGAAAAAACGGAGACTTAGAGAAATTGAGTTACTTTCCTAAATCACAGCTCTCAAGTCCTTTCTTATCTTATGTTCTCACTTATCCAGGCCCCCAACTCTGTCCTGTTTCGCTTCCCTCCTCTGTAGTTTCCTCCTTAGCCCTCACCACTACTTAGTACAGCATACATTTACAGTAGTTCCCCCTTAGCCACAGTTTTGCTTCTTGCAGTTTAAGTTACCCATGGTCAACTGTAGTCTGAAAACATTACATGTAAAATTCCAGAAATAAACAATTTGTGAGTTTTAAATTGCCCGCCGTTCTAAGTAGTAGTACGCCCAAGACATGAATCATCCCTTTGTCCAGCGTGTCCACGCTGTGTGCGCTACCCCCCAGTAGTCACTTAGTAGCCATCTCTCTTGTCAGGTTGACTGTAGCGGTGTCACACTGCTTGTGTTCAAGTCACCCTTATTTTGCTTAATAATGAGCCCAAAGCACAAGAGTAGTGATGCTGGCAATTCGGATATGCCAAAGAGAAACCATAAACTACTTCCTTTAAGTGAAAAGGTGAAAGTTCTCAATAAGGAAAGAAAAAAATCATTTGCTGAGGTTGCTAAGCTCTATGGTAAGAACAAATCTATCCATGAAATTGTGAAGAAGGGAAAAGAAATTCATGCTCATTTTGCTATCACACCTCAAATATGTATGTATAGGAAAAAACATAGTATATATAGGGTTCAGTACTATCCACCGTTTCAGGCATCCACTGGCTGTCTTGGAACGTGTTTCCCACGGGTAAAGGGGAACCACTGCACTTATTTATCGTGTTTATTACTCCGTCTCCCTAACTAGGATATCTGTTTTGTGAGGGGCAGAGATGTTTGTCTATTTTGTTCACTGCTTTGTCTTCTGAATCTAAAATAGTGCCCAGCACTTAGAAGGCACAATAAATAATGCTTCAGTGAATGCAGGGTTGATTCCTTGGTTCCTAGCAGAAGGCCTAACAGCAAATTCCCTCCATTATTCCCTAGCTATTTTCACACAAATTTATTTAATCCGCAATATATCTAAAGTGTCCGTACGATTTCAGGTTCACCAACAATATGCATATCTTTTTTTGATTGAAAAATCTATTGTTTCCATATAGGGACACAGAAAAAAACATTCTCCCCTCTATGCTGTGGAACTAGAGGGCAGAGTAGAAACTTCTAGGGAACCCAAACTTTTAACCTCTGCATCTGCATTAAAGAAGGAACCATTTTACATCTGTGTGGAGAAAAGGCCTCCTTCGGAACTGGAGAGCAAGTGGAAGGTGTCCCACAACTAGAGAAAATGTTTCTTCCTGGCCTAACAGTCTTCTGTCCTCTTGTCATTCTGAAACTTCCCCAGCCAGATTCCTGGAGCCCCCGGAGCTTCTAGAGGTGAAGAGATGTCACAAGGACACACCTTCTACCCAGTATATCCCTAAGCCACAGGTTTCGCAACCTTTTGTTTGTCTGAGAGGGAAAATGTTTAAAACACACCTCACCCCAGACAGTGAATCTGAACCTCTTATTAAAAATCAGCATTTGCTAATAAATTTTGGAGAGTTTGTGGAGAAAAGGGAACCCTCATCCACTGCTGGTGGGAATGTAAACTGGTGTAGCCACTATGGAAAACAGTACGGAGATTTCTCAAAAAACTAAAAATAGAATTACTCTATGACCTAGCTATCCCACTACTGGGTGTTTATTCAAAGAACTTGAAATCAAAAATACAAAGAGGCTTATGCACCCCTATGTTCATTGCAGCATTATTCACAATAGCCAAGACGTAGAAGCAACCCAAGTGCCCAACGACTGATGATTGGATAAAGATGTGGTAGATATATACAATGGAGTACTACTCAGCCATAAAAAAGGACATAATCGTCCCATTTACAATCACATGGATAGACCTTGAGGGCATCATGTTAAGCGAAATAAGCCACACAGAGAAAGACAAATACTATATGATTTCACTCACATGTGGAATATAAACAAACTTAACGGACAAAGAGAACAATTTAGTGGTTACCAGGGGGAAGTAGGGGGAGGGGTGGGCACAAGGGGTGCAGGGGCACATTTATATGGTGTTTGACAAATATTAATGTACAACTGAAATTTCACAATGTTATAAACTATTTAGACCACAATAAAAAATTCTTTTAAAAAAAAATCTGCAATTGCAATAAGCTTGCTGGGCAATTCCATGGTTGGGAGTCCTTGAAGCCCTTCGGTCCTCTCGACACCTCCTTTAACCCTCATAATCCTCAAGTGTGGCTTGAGGCTCCCCAGCTCCAATGCATGAGCAGTCAAGGATCCCTAACTCCAGTGTCCCTGCCCATTTGTGTGTACAGTGCCACTCACAGCGTGTGTTTAAATAGCTAAAACAAGATGGGTTCTGTGAAGATACAAAAGACGCTTTTGGAAAGCAATTTGGCAATATTTGTCATGTGCTGTACTCTTTGACCCAGAGAGTGATTCCAAGGACCTCTTCTATGGGTCCTCTAAGTTCTAGACTCTCCTAGGACCTGGTCCTGGAACCTGCGCGCTGCATGCTGGGTGATCTCATCCAGTCTCATGACTTTAAATTCATCCATGGGCCAATAACTCCCACATGTGGATCTCCAGACCTGACCTCTCCCCTAAACTACGGAGTCTATATCAGGCTCCCTACTTGACTTCTCCACTTGGATGACTAATGGGCAACTCATGCTTAACTCTTCATTTCCCCTCTCCCCCCACTCCCAAATCTGCTGCTTCCCCATCTCAGTAAATGACACCAACTTCGACTTCTTCACTGGGGCCATCTTTGTTTCCTCTTTCTCCTACACTCTCCCCACACAGAGCCAAGTTTATCAGCAAGTCCTACCAGTTCTGTGTCCTTAATATATTCCAATCAGTTGCTACTTCTCTCTAAGCAAGGCATTGGCAAACTACTGCCCAGCTAGGCAGGCCAAATCTGGCATGCAACCTCCCGTTTTTGTATCGCCCAGAAGCTAAGAATGGTTTTTACATTTTT